CTATAAAAGTTTGAATGATAAAGAAAGTACATTTAAAATAATCCCTAGTAAACTATAAATAAGAATTATTCATAAAATCGAGATAATAAATAATGAAGGTTACCTTTTAAAGCCAACTGGTCTGACTAAATTGTGTTTGCTTGGAGACAAATCAGTTTTACTCTTCGCAGTTTTTAAACGATGAAGATTTTTGCGAAGTCTTTCATGTTTCTCCAAAAGCCTAAGTAAAATCATAAATACATAAATTAAAAATGTCATCAAAGCAAATGACAAAAATCATGTCCCTATTCAATATTTTCATACTAAAAAAACAAAATAAAATATGACATAAGGTCTCTTTCACAACGGCTCACTGATCCTAGCACATCTCATGAAAAAATAAATACATTTTTCCAATGGGACTGGCCATAGTGTCCCACGGGACTGTGGTGCACACCAAGCCGAGTACCGACCCTCGACCCTTCCTCAAGCACCAAGCAAGTGCAATAAATGAATTGCTTCATTAATTATTTTAGCCTTGACCCTTGCTCATCCAGGCCACAAAACATTCTGATTAATAGGTACCTTTTAAATTATCTTATTTTCACAACAACCAATCAAAATTGAATGTATTGTTTGTATTTATGTTTTTCATTTTTATTATAAAATGAATAAAGCTATTATCCAACAGAGAATCTTCGCCATTAAGTTTATTGCAAAGGTTCAAAGTCCTTTCCATAATTATTTCATTTTTGTTATTCAGATCATTGTTCGTGGCAACATTTTCTCATGAAATTATTTTATATAATCTGTGAAGTAAAAAGTAAATACGTAGGTTCAAATGGTGTATAAGTGCGATTTTTTTAAGATCCTAATTACAGATAATAAACAGCTGTGGTATACGCAAGCTTTTACCTTATTAAATTACAAAAAAAAAAAAAAAATACATCCCTACTATTAGGATAAAAAAAAATAAGTAATCTTTTTTTAAGGTACATGATTAAATTATTTTAGACTATGATAGCATTAAGATAGTATCATTTATTTCGAAATTATTACCATTATTTCGAAAAATTAAGTAAAAACCTAATCTAATATCCTCAAGAACATTGCAAATTTAGCTTTAATTAAGAATTTTTGTTTATAAATCACTAAACATTTAAAATATCTTCTTCTTCTGCCACTGCATACCGAAGTGGTCCTTGGCCTGCTTTAACATCTGTTGCCACAGAGTTTTATTCTCCACAATCCAGATCCCAGCTAAACCTCTTTATTATTTCAACTTCGTAATGTCCCATTCTCATATACACCATACATCCAAACATTCCTCACAGCATCCTCCTTTCGAACCTGTCACATATGTTATTATTTAATGTCCAAGTTTCTCCTCCATACGTAACCACAGATCTGATCGGGATTTTATACATACAAATTTTAACTTTGCGGCTATGTGCCAAGTGCAAAATAAGCTTTATTTCCGGCTAGAATCCTTCTTTTAACTTCTTCTGATTCGTTTTTCATTAAAGATCCTAGGTATGGGAAAGCCAACAATAATTCTATATTTTCTCCGGCAATTTCATAGCTTGGTGGGTGTTATCACCTGAATTTTTCTACAATCATTCGTTTCGTTTGTCAACATTTATTTCGAAATCAGCTCTTCTTGCTGTCCGTCTCAAGGCAGCATACGCCTCCTCAATTTCTTGCTTTCTTCTTCCTAAAATCACTACATCATCTGCGTATGCCATTATTTGTAATGATTTATTTATGATTTTGCCATTTTCCGTAACCTTTATGTTCTTTACTACATTATCAAGCACTAGATTAAACAATATAGGTGCTAGGGCATCACTCTGCCTCAGTCCATTTTTTATTTCCATGAGCTGACATCTCTCCATTTACTCTTATTTGACAATTGGAATTACTCATTGTTATCTTTGTATGAATGATCAATTTAAGAGGGATATTTGCTTTTTCCATTGCCTTATATACCATGGATCTGTAGATACTATTATGAACAGTCCTAAAATCTATGAATAAACCCCATACTATATTCTCACATCTTTTCATCGATCTGCCATAAAGAAAAGATTTAAAATAATGTAAAGCCTCATGCACACAGAACCAAATATGTTCCGGTGTTCAGCGATACCTTTTTCTATGTCTCTGCAGATTATCGTGCTCTGTGTGACTGTGATAGTGGGATAATAAGTAAGTGAAGTAACAAAACTACATCACTATATTCTAAGGACAGCAATAAAGTACATAAAGGAATGTACAATTCATACATATATTCACTGTCACACATTTCACATAAGATGACGGGACTAAGTTAACTACAATGAAAATAATAGAAAGAAAATAAGCTGGGAACCCCAAACTACATCTTCTCAATGGTTTGAGTGCTTAAATATTTATAATACAATAAATAACAAAATAATTTTATAAAGTCAATAAAAGGAGTTCTTAACATTGAAATTAAAAATAATATTTACGTTTTCAAGTTGCTGAGGTGATTTATTTCTTTAACAATCCAATCTATTTGGTTTTCTCTTTCAGCATTCACAAAATCTAAAAGTTTATCATCGTCTTTTTTAAGTCCTGTAACAATTTTTATATCAATAACTAAGACAGGCATATTTCTAAATAAAAAATCAGAAATTATAGTTTTTAATTAATATATTGTAACGATACACTGGTGTACCAGTATTCTATATCCATAAAATCATAAATACGAAAACATTTACAAAAAAACTGTTTTATTTACAATAAATATTTGTAACTCACTTTCTTTTTTCATCTCATAGAGTTTTTCAGCTCGTGTAACTGATTCTTTCCAATCAGATTTACTTTCTGTGCTTGCATCTGTACTTCTGTCCCTATAAATGTTTTTATCAATTCTCTTAGAGCTTCCTGGTCCTGTAAACAGTGAGTGTTAACTTAAAATAATATACTATAAAAGATTATAACAAAATAAAATATATTTAAATGAAAGATCAATCACCTTGGCTTTTGATTATGGGTGCTGGAAAACTTGGTACAGAACTTTTTGTGGACTCAGAACTTGTTTGAATGGCTGAAATTGATTGGCCAGTGATTGAGCTAGAGTTATCTTAAATGCAATGACAAACATAATTAGAAATGAACAAAATATGAAATTAATGAAAAATATCACAAGTGACTTTTAGCTTACTTAATGTTTTACTTTTGATATCCTGCTTTCCTTCTGAACTAGATTCACCAATCACTTCTTCTCTGTTTTGACTTCTCCTAGTAGCACAACGCTGAGGTGCTGACTTTAGTAAACCTACATCTTCTGGATAATCTGTTTCTATTAATTTTTCTACAACACGGTGTAATAATTCCTTTCTTTTGAGGGTATTGTTAGCATTAGAACCTTGAATGAACTCTTCAATGATTTGGACTCCTCTTTCTACATCATTTTTTAAGCTTTCTCCTTTGTTACTTTCCCAGAAATCAACTTTATCTGATTTATTGTTTTTTTCATAAACATGGCCAGGTAGGTATTCAAAACTATTTACATGGTCGTCTGTACTTAAAGCAGCACTATCCTGAGTACTACCCCCATTTTGTTTTGTTTTCCTTTCATCATTTTTATAGAGTGAACTTCCAATCGTTGAAGACTGAATTCCAGCACCATTATTTATATATGATGTCTGTATAGACTTCGAAATTTTAGGTAAACCAGTAATAACAGTAGCAACTGAGGATGATGATACAGATTGAGGTGGATTTAATATTCTTTGCAAGTGTGAATTGTAATCAAATTCATTATTGACGTTACTTTGACTCTGTGATCTTGGAAATGTTGCAGCTTGTCCTTTATCATCTTTTATTTCATTTACATTTTCCAAAGAATTATATTTTTTCAACCTATAATCCTTTGAAGAATCTTCAAACATATCTTTTTGAGGAGAAGCACACTCATTACTGGTGTCGGATATACTACCCTTGTATTGTACAATTACTTCAGGAAACAATGGGTGGTACTTTTGTTTGTTTCCATTAGGTTTATTTCCGGAATTTCTACTACTAGATGAATTATCTTCTGTCAAATTAATATTAATATGAGTTGATTCAGCAGTTGGTAATCCAATTGCAGTAACTGCTATCTTTCCTTTCTTGGAACTACTGGTACCTTCAGGGTCTGAACGTGTCAACATCCCTGTTCTACCTTGGACCAAAGCTATTCTTTCCATTGTTGAAGAAAACTCTTGATCACTTCGTGAAACTGTTCCATAATTCTGGAAATACCCCACATCTGCACCACTATCCCACTCAAGTGGTCGAGATGTAACACTTGATACACTAGATGGAGAGATAACACGTGGGAAATCCATTTGATCACTTACAGGTGGCTGAGATTGATCACAAGACCCTTCTATAGGTTTGCTATTAATATATTCTTTCCTATTGTGGCTAATCCCGGCTGTGGTAACATATTCGACAGATTCAGCTTTATTATACATAATTAGTTTTTCATCCTCTGAAGAAGACCCTTTATTACGACTTCCTGGCACTATGTCATTTGAAGTTGAAGCCTGTCCAACAACAGGAGGTCTTATCCAACGTTTTCTTTCTTTGGGTAAGGAATCTTCTTGACCAATTAAGCTTCTACCAGTTTGAACAGAAATACTAACCTTTTTACTTGGAGAACCTTCAGAAAGATTTCTTCTTGTTTCTGATTTTCCATCAAGAGGCAAGTTTTTTAACAGTTTATTGATAATACCAACCTGTTCATCAGATGAAGAACCATCCGATTTTCGAGGAATAGAAAATTCTGTCTGAAAATAACTCGAACGTATATTTTGCGAGCCATCTTCTGGTCCAGTATTTTTTGACATTACAAAACTACTACTAAACACAAACACCAAGTTACATCAAAACCGTTATTTCGAATCTATTTACAAATAGCATGGAAGGTTATAATTCCAGTGCCGATCAAATCTGATAATGCAGCATTTTCATCACTCCATTCTCTCATCTGATCATATGTTCAATGGCAGTGGTGTAAATATGTCTTGGACTTGTTTTTCCTGATCGTGTCAAGTTTTCTTACTGACCTTTTTAAATGAACTTATGCTCTTTCTCTTAGTTTTAAGAAATAATTTTTTATTAATAACTATTTATAAAATTAAAATCAGCAATGAAAGCTGGGAAAACTTTGGTAAATTTTGTTTTGATTAATCTTTACATATATATAAAACATGTTTCTAAAATCGCTTATTTATTTCTCATGACTTAGTAGTTGTAGCAGACATTAATAGTTGTTTTTCCTTTAAACTTATTTTACATATAGAGTGTTTTATCTATTCCTTTTTTTGGAGAATTTTAAAATTTTGATGTTATTAATTAAGTTGTTTTTCTTCAAAGCCTAACAATTCTGCTCATGGGGATATGGGGCCCCCAAGAGTTGCCCAAACACAATTATGTATGAAAGTGTTTGTACAAAGGGACTATAGTGATGGGACTACTGTCAAATTTCAAAACTTTTTTCCTCCAGAACTTGAAGGGAAGGTAAGTGGTTCTTAGCTTAAATATCAATTTAGCCTTAATACAACTATCACTCAGCTGACATTTTAGTAGTTCCCACCAAATGGTTATTTAAGTTATTATTCATGTTATTTTTATTTGACAAGCTCCTCAATAGTTTTCACCATTATTTATTTCTTTGAACAAGTTTGGATAATGGTCTGATTACATATCCATAAATCATGTTAGATTATTTATCTTCCTTCATATATCACATATGCAACAGAACAATAACAATCTTCTGATATATTGTTAATTATTCAATATTCAGCTTAGTAGTTTCTTAATTATCTATTAATTGAATTAAATGACTTATAAATCCTTATCTTTTGATTATTATATTCTTCATTATTGAAATGTATTCTATTGGCTGTAATTTTATGAGCAACAGTTCCCATCTTATGAACTGTTGCTTTGTACAGAAAATGGTCAATAGGTCGGTACCAATTGTAAGGTTTCTTAATCATATGATTCCATTGTTAACTGATTTTCTTTTCTTTTTTATTTTGTAAAAACTGCTTAAAATTTCTGGAAATATTTGCTTTTAAATTATATTAGTTGTAGATATATTAGCAACTTCCTTTTCTATTATATATATTTACCTTCATTATTGTGTAGTTGGAGAGAGCATTATTTGAAAATACAATTGGCCAACTTAATGCATATTTCCGGGAAGCTGAGAAGGGGACATGTAGTACATATTGTGAAGGGTGTATGGCTTGTTTGACTGCTTACCTCATGTATATTTGTGCTCAAACACACTATGAAAAGGTATTTCAGTCTTAATAATTAACCATCTCTTAATAATAGTTTATTTAATATTGTTTTGTTCTGTTTTACCAATATTTTCAAATATAATAATCACTATTTTTGTTTTTGTTAAATAAATTTTTTGGTAATTCAATATGTAATTATAGTGATATTATATAGTTGTTATTAATTTATAATTGTTAAGATCCTTCAATACATTGCAATCGATTCCTATAATTCACCTTTATTGTAATTTGTATAAACTTAACAAAACAGAGATGACTGACAGTCAACGCTGGAGCAGGCCAAGACTCAGCTTGTCAGCAGTCTTGACAGCAGGCCTTATAGTAATAATAATACTTTGTTTGAAATAGTTAACAGTCATTCATGGACAGTGATAACAAGAAATGGCCAAGTAATCACTATAAAAAAAATTATGATTAACAAAAGGAGAAACATTATCACAGGTTGAAAAAACAGATTTCTGGAAATAATAGTATTAATGTATATGTTTAAAATATTATTGAAAAATAATCAAAATCCTATATATTGGATTGAGGATAAAGTAATTTTTTTTCTTGTTTTTCATTACAAATTTATTTATATGTATTAAATTAAACATTTCTAATACTAACCAATGATATATATGCCGTTTTGATCGATGACCTTTTGCCAATTTTCTGGGTAAAACTGTAAGTCCATCATTATTGAAGTTCTGTGATTTCTGAGCAAAAATCTGAATTAACTGATCTTTATAATTGTCTATTCATGCCTACTTTACACCATTAAGAGAGTACTGCAGAAACCAAATCAAATTGTCTGGCGAGGCATTATTCGGTGGATACATCAAAACTTTCCTGCCAAGCTCTCTCTGTCATTATTGGGTCATTAACCCTTTGACTGCGGAACTTCGTACAAGTGATTCTTCCAAATCGCGGCTTCCGAAATTCAAAAAGACGTTATGAAAAAACAGATTCCCCCTCTCCCTTAAATTTGTTTAAAATACTATTTTGAGTCACACAGCAAGATATTAGATTTCAAAAATGCATTTTAACCTTTTTATTTAACTTTTAATAACCGGGACATACGCCTTCCCAGCTGTACCTAAGAATGAAAAATTTGTGTGGCGATCTCGTAATACTTTTCCGTCTTCACTATTTGCAAATTTCTGAAAAGCAAAATAACTGAAAATGAACATAAAAATACAGATCAATATGATGTGTAAAAGGCGACTCTATATAGTAGGGCAGCGCTACTTTCAATAAAATATTTCTTTCTCATTTCTAAAAGAAGGACACCAACGGCAGAGTTCGAATTATATTTTTCTTTGTAGATACCAATTTTTTCTTACCTAAGGAAGTTTTATATTGAAACGTATTATTTATTGTAATGAAGCAATTTATAACATTTATTTTGAGTTTCAAACACTTTAATATTATATGAAATATATACATTTATTATGTGATTGGAAAAATGATAGAACAACTAAAGTTTTTCTATTTTAAATTTTAATTAAATCAATAGTATAGGTAAAATTTATTTATCCTAAAAAATATTTATTTTCTTTTATTTAGTTTCTTTTTAGCTTGTTTTGTGTGAAGAAAAAACTATATGGTATTTCTTGATTTGCACTTTATTCGTATTTTCTCCTTGTGACGTTTTAACATACTTGTCATACTAACAACTCTTATAACAAATAAAATTATAGCTGTATGTAAAATTAATTATTCAGACGTATGACATTATAACTTTTATTAAATCAAAATTATATCTTTAAGATTATTTTAAATAAATATTTTGATCCTTTTAAATTTGATATTTTTGATCTTTTATGTCTGAATGGTTCTTGGTGAACTGTTTTAATCAATCTTGATTTTAAATGTTGGCTTGTAAATTTATGTAATTTTTATATCTATTATAATTAATCAAAATTATATCTTTAAGATTATTTTCAATAAAGATTTTGATACTTTTAAATTTGATATTTTATGTCTGAATGTTTCTTGGTGAACTGTTTTAATCAATCTTGATTTTAAATGTTGGCTTGTAAACTTCTGTAATTTTTATATCTATTATAATTAATTAGAAATATAAAGAAGATTGGAGTTTAGTTATCTCTAAAGTTGATGGATTAATACAAGAGTTTTCAAACTTTATGTCACCATGTAGCTTCTCCACTTATCAAATAACTCGACATACCGTCCCTTAATAATCTCATCATACCAATATTAAATGTTAGTAAAAAAAAAAAATGTATATATATATATATATATATATATATATATATATATATATATATACAAACTTATTTACAAAAGTTTATTTTACAAAAGAACACAATATTTATGATAGAAAGTTTGCTTAATTTAATAATAATTTTTTTTATATAACAATAGCAGGAAAACTGAAAATAGAACAAATATTCGGCAAATAATATAATCCAACAAAAATAAAAATTTATTTGTTGTGTTGGAAAATATCATTATTTTTCTGTTGGAAGCATTATTTGTTGAGTAGTAATGTTAAGATTGATGGAACTTGATTCCTAAGTCCTCTTCAACACCGATTGCTTTCTTCTTTACTGCTGTAACAAATTCAGATTATTATTATTGTTAATTGTAAATTGTGTTTATTAATCATATCTTCAAAATACACAAATTCTTCTCGATTAAATATGAAATGAAAGTTAATACATTTTTTTTTTGTTTAAAAAATAACATTAATTGGTTAAAGGTTTAGCATTCTTTTAAGTATGATTAGATTTTAGTTTTAATTTTTTTTTATTATGTTTCTTAAATTTTATGTCTTTTATAGTGTCTTAGGAAAGTTGCCAAATTTGTTCAGGAACAAAATGAACGGGTATATAAACCTAAAGGACTGTATTTAACTAATCCTGTTGAAAGGGGTTTAAGAGTGGTATCCTTTTATTTATTCTATATTATATTATTAGACTATATTATAATTTATTTTAGTAATACAAACTGGTATATATAAATAATATTTTATTTTGACAGAGGTCTATAAATATCTTCTGCATTAATTGTTCCAATGTTTAAATCTTACACAAAGTTTTTTGCTTGCATGTTTTAATTTTTATTATTCAGCATGTGTTATAAAACACTTAGGTGAAAGCTAGCGTTTTCTGCAAGCCTTATTCCAAAGGATATGAATTTCAAATTTATGAAATCAGGCTTATTGATAAGAACACCGTGTTTGATAGCTCAGGCCAATATGTAGTCACGTCTTCTTATTATTTACATTCCTCTTCACCAATATTTTAAATGGGAAATCATCCTATATTTAAATAATATCGAGAAGAAATAGAGTGATTATGTAAAGTGTAGTAATAAAGCAACGTTCTACTAATAAAGTTGCCTTAATAATGCCAATGTTCAGGCCTTGGAACTTAATTGCACGGCATTGCAGATAAATCTGGTAAAATAACTACAAAATAGTACTTGTCAACTAACTGCTAGTAGTAATTGAAATAAATAATGGAGGGGAATATAGATTAGTAGGTTCAGTTCTAGTATTTAAAGAGTGATTGGTGGAACATAGAGTAAGGAGTTCTAGTAAGTCTCTAAGTACTTAAAAAAAAAAAATCACTGAGAAAGAATTGCCGTTTAGAAGTAGGCCACTTCAGCTCAGTATACCAACATGAGAGCATCTGGAATTAATGTATTGAAAAAAACATGCGGAATTGAATAATTAAGGTCAATTTGATTGTTTTGTAGCTCTCACTCTACTTAATGTTAACCAGTACATCTTTATTAACCACTAAATAATTTTCTTTGAAATCTTAAATATGAGGAAGAACTATAATAATAACATGCTTAGAGAAGTTAAATTTATTTTTAACGATGGATAAACTAAAAATTTTAAGCTCGTTTAGCAGTGATATATTACCTATTACGGTAATAATAATATCAAGGTATAATTTGGTTCTCTTTATCATAAGATCTATAAATTAGACTTTCTTTCATTGAGGGATGGTCTTCTTTTGTTCTATTAAAGCAGAATTACCCAAGCTTTTGAGCACAGGTTTTTTTTTTTTTTTTTGTTGGCTTTAAGCACGTCGACCCCTTTGGGTCCATTGTGCGCCAATATTCGCTAGGTCGTCTTATTCAAAACGTTAGTCCTGTCGCTTCCGCATATCTCAGTAGGCTGGTTGGGTTAACCGACTCAAATCTACTGGGGAGATCCATCTGTTCCTCCCCAAATAACGCCAGTCTCAGCCTTATAAACTTGTCACATCTGCATATGATGTGAAAAGCTGTTTCATTCTCCTCCTGACAGAATCTGCATATCGGATTCGTCATTACTCGGAGATTGAACATATGATTATTTAACTTACAGTGACCTGTGTAGATCGCTGTGAGTTTTTTAAGAGCTGCTCTGTCCATGTTCAGTAGCTGTTCACTTCTTTTTTTACATGGGCCTTTAAGGAACAGCTTCGAGTGTCTCTGTTTCTTATCGGTCCAGTAATTCCTAAATTTGTTCCCATAGATCTCCCTGATCCTGCCCTTGGCAGTACTAAGGCTGATTCCACAGACTGGCTCGGGAGTTATAGGAATAGTATCTGAGCCCAACCTGGCTTGCTCATCAGCCATCTCGTTGCCCGGTATGCCAGAATGGCCTGGCACCCACTCCACTGCAACTCTGTTGTGCTCAGTTAGCTCGTTAAGTGCTCTATTGCATTCCTTAACGACCTTTGAATAAGCATAATAATTGTCAAGAGCACCTATTGCTGCCTGACTGTCAGTAAAGATGGTGATCCTTTTCTCAGTCACATTGGTTTGCAGTAGGTTTTGTACACAGTGGCAGATTGCCAGTATCTCGGATTGAAACACTGAAGCATACCTGCCAAGTGGTATAGAAATTTTTTCTTTTATATCTTTGCGATAGATGCCTGCTCCAGAGCCGAAGGCTGTTAGAGAGCCATCTGTGTAGCAATTTATTCCACTATTTGGTTTATGAATTCTGCTGCTATCTATCTCAACCTTATATTTCCGGTCCTGATGTTCTCGGATTAGAGTGTCAGAGTGCATAGCTAGCACTCTTTCACTTCCAATCCTGTTCAGCAGTGTTGTGTGTCCTCCCTGACAGGGGACTGTTGAACAGTAAGTTGACTTGCTTATCCTGTACAGTGTAATTGTTGCCCGAGCCTCCACCTCCAGCTGCAGCGGGGGCATGCCAAGCATCACCTCCATAGCAGCCGTCGGTGTCGTGCTCATTGCGCCTGTTATCATTATACAAGCAAGCCTTTGGATCTTTCCTAATAAGGATACATTGGCTACAGTCTTTGCTTTGTGCCACCATAGCAAAGCTGAGTAAAGTATGATAGGTCTGACTGTTGTTGTGTACAGCCAGTATACCATTTTTGGTTTTAGCCCCCAATTCTTTCCTATCGCTCTTTTACAGGCCCATAGGCATTTGAGGGCTTTACTTGTCACGTTTTGAACGTGTTTAGTCCATGTCAGTTTATGGTCCAAAGTGACTCCCAGGTGTTTTACTTCCTTACTCAGTGTCACTTGGATACCATTGATTTCCGGCATTTTAATAGCCACCTTCTTCTTCTTGGTGAAGATACACACATTGATTTTCCTAGGGTTGATGCTTAGTCCTTTAATCCTGCACCAATTCCTAAGAATATTGAACACTGTACTGAGGATATCAGAGAGGACACTCTGATGCCTCCCTCCTATGAGGATGGCAATATCGTCAGCATATCCCTGAGCATAAATGCCTGCAGTGTTTAAGGCTTCCAATAATGAGTCAGCCACAAAACACCACAGTAATGGAGAGAGCACACCTCCCTGAGGACATCCCCCACAGGGTTTAATCCACAGTTCCTTGTGCCCTATTTCTGATTTTAGAACTCTGTCCTCCAGCATTCTCCCAATCCATCTGGAGGTCATAGCGTCTATATCTTTTTTCCTTAGCGCATCATTTATGATGTTATAGGGAGTTCTATCAAAGGCACCCTCGATATCAACGAAGACGCCTATCATGATTTCACTCTGTTCTAAGGATTTCTCAATTCTTGTTACCAAGTTGTGAAGCGCCACCTCACAGGATTTTCCTGGTTGGTAGGCATATTGCTTTGAATGTATTGGACTAGTAGCCAATATGTGTTCCCTAATATGTCTGTCCAGTATCTTTTCCAATGTCTTCATTAAGAAAGATGACAGACATATTGGCCTAAATGCCTTGGGGTCTTCATAAGATTCCTTTCCTGGTTTAGGAATGTATCGCACTTTGGATATCCTCCACTTACATGGTAGATATCCCAGTGCTAGGCTACCTCTTAGAAGTTCCAGAAGGTATGGCCTTATTTCTGGGAGACCCTTCTGCAGCAGTGCTGGAAAGATCTCATCCATTCCAGCAGACTTGAAAGGAGAGAACGAATTCACTGCCCATTCAAGTCTACTGTTTGTTATCACTCTTCTTGCCTGACCCCACATACGTGCGCCAGTACCACGATCCTGTGTATTGGGGTCAAGAAGTTCATTTACTGTCGTAAAACAATTTGGGAAATGAGCTTTTGCTACCACACTCAATGTTTCTATCTCATTCGTGGTGTGCTTATCGTCATATTTGAGTGTTCCCATTATACCTGAATTGGTTTGTTTTGACAGTATTTTGTTTACCTTACATACCGCCGGCATGTTGTCCACCTCCAGACAAAACCTTTTCCAGGCTTGTCTTTTGGCTTTCCTGACAGATTTGTGATACTCAGTAAGAGATTTCCTGTATGTATCCCAATTGCCAGATTTTTTAGAAGCATTAAACAATCTCCTCATGAGTGCTCTTTGCTTTGTTAGACTATCATTCCACCAGGACACTTTCCTGTTGGTTGTAGTTTTTTTAGCTTCATTACTGGCCAAATATGCTCTAGTCATAGCATCAGTAATTGAAGTATTTAATATTTCTAATTGCCATGTATTGTGGATAACTTTGGGGCAGCATTTGACAGCCTCCTCCAAGTTAGAACTATAGGACACCCAGTTTGTTCGCTTAGGGTCTCTATATTCCACATCATGTTGTATTCTATCAGATATATCAAATCTGATATATCTGTGATCCGAGCATGTTTCTTCATCAGAGACATGCCAGTTATCTATAAGGTCACTAGTCAATTGAGTCGCTAGTGTTATGTCTATGATCTCAGTCCTAATTCTGTTACAAAAGGTAGGCTTATTCCCCCTGTTCAGAATATCAAGATCATATTTAATAATAGTCTCTAAGAGTTTCTCACCTCTAGAGTTGGTGTTTGTGCTTCCCCAGATCTCGTTGTGTGCATTAGCATCCAGGGCAGCAACAATTTCCTCCTTACTCTTTAATAGTTCATCCATTCCTTCTTCAGGCTCTGGATGTTCATATGGCAGGTAAACCGCCGCTATGATTAGTGATTTGTTATATCCTTGTTGGGTATATTTGGCTGCTGCAAGATCTCTAGAACAAAATTGCCATAGAGGCAGCAGTTTTAGTTTGTTTTTAAAAAGTAGGCAGGCTCTAGGATATGTGGGTGCAGATATTATTCCATACCCCTGCATATTTAGTCCTTTGATCCTGCCTTCATATAAGTAAGGTTCAAGAATTAATATAATATCAATATCGTTACCTTTTATGTACTGTTGCAACACTCCACATGCCGCAATGCAGTGGTGGATGTTGATCTGCAGCAGTTTCATATATTTTGATTGTTTTTTATGTTCTGGGAGGTGGTTTTCCAGACGGGGCCGATGGTAGGGTTCTTCCCTCCGACTCAGTTTTCACTTTGTCTTTGGGTTTCTCCCTGCCTCTCGGCCTCGCTTTCAAACCACCACCAGTGTTAGATGGGTGCCGCGAGACAGAGGTCTGGCCACCTGACCGCGACAGTGGCTGGGGTTCGCCTCTGCAACCAGTTTTCACTG